CCCACCCCCAACCCACCACCCCCCGGGAATGGTAACGCCATTTCTGAGAAAATAAGTCGCCATTGACTGGTTAAATGAACCTAGACACTTAAACATTAATGACAGCGGGGTGCGAAAAAACACAAATCCATTAGCAAAAGTCATGTTGAAGTCAGTGGTTATAATAGAGACAAAAATAAATAAATAAAAAGAATGACAATATTTTTGAAACACATTATTTGTTTTAAGATGAGAAAGTCAATTATTAGTATTATTTAGTGAATTCTTCTTTATAATACACTTCAGCCCTGAACGAATTCAGAGTGCCTGGTCATAAAGAATGTCCCCGTTTGGTCAGTGTCACAATACGGAACATTTCAAAAAGTGGAGGCCACTTTAAGCGGCGACATTCAATGCTTGCTCGACACGACTATCACAAGAGGAGCTGTGAAGCATCTTTCAGTCCAATGAAATTTTACTCGCGGTAGATTTTTGCAAAGATGAATGGAACACTTTAAAAACCCCTCAACATTCCTTTTTTTTTCTTTTCCAGAAGACGAGAGAGAGAGAGAGAGAAATAGACTGAATGAATCCACGCAATATAATACAATGCAGTATTATGTGTAAAATATTTTTACGAGGCTTTACATCAGCGGTGTCCAAAGGACGGCCTGGGGGACATTTGCGGCCCGCCATCCATTTTCAGCGGCCCGCGACATGACAGAAAATTGTCTATATAATACTAAAAATGACATTTGACATGTGCCAAAAGGTAAGTTAAAATGGTGAAGGTGGGCCGAGTGAGAAGGGAGGATGTCCAGTAGAACTTTTTGCTATATTCGAAGATACAAATAAAGCATTAATGATTAAAAGAATAACACCAATTATCTTCAAAACACTTGAGTGAATAAAGAGAATTCAATTTTAGAGGCAGAAATAGTTCCTTCCACTTTCTGCTCGATGGCTGATTTATGAAGACATCACATAAATGATCCTGAAGTAACTGAAAAACGGTCACCTTACTACAGTTTTCTCGTTTTTTGGGTTCTAAATGTGGAGAGGGGATTCGGCTGCTGTTAAGTGCAAGGCTGGATCTACTTTGTGAGATGGACGGCTGTTGGCCAAACTAAAAACTTGGGAAAAATCCTCAACTATTTGCCTTAACACCTTTAACAGAAAGCTGAAGAAATTGACTAGACAATACAAACAATATATAATTGCTTTCTTGACTCCCTTTAGCGTGCTTCAAAAAGTTGATGAGTTTTAAAGCGGCCCTTTCATCCTTCTCTAATTTTCTGTTGGTGACCCTCAAACGAAAACGTTTGGATATCCCTGCTTTGCATGATCAGGGAGTTATTTAAAAAAAAAAAAAAAAAAAAAAAAAAAAAAATTAAAAAAGATGATGACTGATCATCGATTTAATCAGATGGAATAATCAATTTAAAGAATTTGTTTTTTTACTCGACATTATTTGTGGGGGATTGGCAGCAGCCTGGCCCTCAATAGGTGTATTTGCTGAAATGCCTTAGTTTGCGAATCCAATCAATTATGTCATTAATTGATCGGCAATGTATGACGTTACAACCGATCATCGATCTTGCAGAAAATGCGAAATGTCTGCCGATCATATCCAGCCAATCAAATCTGTGTAAAGTCTCCTGCTCAAATTAACTGATTATCAACAATAATGTAAAACTGTGTGCGAAATGAAGTGGCGATTGAGTGAATGAATTCACTGCCTCTTCTCCAGTGAACTGTTAGAGGAACCCCCACAACATAATCGAGCATCAAGATGGACGTTCAATACCTAAAGGTTGACGTTGAGAAACTTGCTCAGGGTTTTGCTAGTGTACGATTGATTTATTGCTACTCTTCTCCTGTGTTAGGAATGTCAATGGACTATTGCAATATGGTTCCATGGTTGCAGGGAGTATTACCTTCATAGAGCCAGTCAGCCAGGCCATTGAAGACCACGCCCTCCTTCCCGGTCGAAACCAGGCGGATGGTGCGACTCTCTATTGTTGCTCTGTAGTAGATGTTGTTCTCAAATATGAAGATCTGGAGCCAAATGCAACAAAATGCCCAAATTTTGACATGATATCCAAGACAGTACTGATTTGGCAAAGATATTGTATATTTATATCATATTCCATTTCAATTGGCAGCGTCATAGCTTTGAGTGTATTTGAGGTGCTCATGCAGGCCCCAAAAATTTCATAGACCACAAAAGCAGGTTACTAGTGTGCCTTCTTCCATTCACTGAATTGTCTCAAAGAAGAACAAAGAGTGCACTCGTACCTACAGTTGCTATGGGTGCTCCAATAATCATTGTTGCTTTTCCCATGCAAACGCTTTTGATCTGCTCTGTGAGCTGTAAAATCAAACTTGACGCAATCAACTCTTCAAATTAGAATTGTGCTACAAGTGATTTAAGTGCGATTGAATTAGAGAGGGGACATGAAAAAATCCACTATCCCAATGAGGCACAAACTGTGTCGTTTAAGGGCAGGTGTTATTGGCTGTTTTGTCAAACACTTTCATTTGCTTTCATTTTCATCTCTCATCACTGTCTCCATTTTTGTACAGCAACATGATCTCACATTCAAGTGTGTGTGTATGTGTGTGAGAGAGAGAGAGAGAGAGAGAGAGAGAGAGACAGAGTGTGTGCATGCATGTGTCTCGCCGATTGCTCTGTCTCAGCGGAGTAATTGCTTGCGCTTTAATGAGTGCATCTTCATTTCGGCGTACATTTGATGCTTAACATGACCCACACACACACACACGTTTCCAGGCTGACAATGCACGCCGTGATGAATGCCTCCATTTCTGATGGATTTAAGGCCGAATTATTTTGTTTGTAAAGAAGCCGGAGTAAAAAAAAAAAACAACAAAAAACGGCGCTAAACAAGTCAGATTCAGAGAAAAGACAAGAGCTTGACGTCTTGTTTTTACTGGCGTCACCTTCACATAATGCTTATCGGTGAAGTTTCAGCGGGCAATGTTCTATTGCAGCCATTTAGCGACGTGATAAAACTTGCATTCAATACAAAATAAAATTTTAAGAGCATGAACAAATGTTTGGATTCGATTTTTTTTCCAAGTGGCTAAATATAGCTGATTTAAAGTCATGCTAATGTTCCACTAGCTTAATATAATGTAATAATTGTAGCTTCATTGAACAATAGTTTCTAAATCCTGTGGCAGGAACACCGACTCCTATCTGTCATTGCCACAACGACTCCTGGTCACTGACTTCAGCCGTGTTGAATATTAATGACCCTGCAGACCAGTTGTGATCCTACTAGCCTCAGCGCTAGCATTGTCAACCTAGCTACACGCTGAAACGATACAACAATGTTCATTTCATTTCATGATGTGAAGGAAAACCATTTGGGTCTTTATTTCTGGCAGGAACACCGACTCCTATCTGTCATTGCTACGACTCCTGGTCACTGACTTCAGCCGTGTTGAATATGAATGACCCTGCAGACCAGTTGTGCTTCTACTAGCCACAAAACTACAAATGGGTATTTTGGGGCTGCTAGTAGTAGATAAGTTTGCCACCAATCCCGTAAAATACGGAATCACCCTTTAATTAAAATTAAAATGTTCCTAATTGTCCCGTGCGTCTGTCACAAACAAAACATGAAGAGTAAATTTAACAATAATGAGCAAAATAAAAGGCAGGGAATATTAAAGACAGCAATGTGGTATTGCGGACCTGCGGGCGTAGACTGCGTCTGATGCGTTCTCCTGAGCTCGGTGCCAAATCCTCTGACTATCTGCCTGCACAGCTGGCAGCCCAGCCCCTTCGCTGCTTTTAAAATATGCTATTTAATTTAAGTATCGTCCACATTCGGTAAAAGTGTCCCCAGACAGGCTTTGTTTAATTTACAGCACTGTATATGTATACAATACAGTATGTATTCAATGTTCTTCTATGTGCTCAAGTTCAGGCTATTAAGTGTTTCGGAACTGTTAAAAATGTTAACCCTTTAAGGGCAGCGGTTACCACAGTGGACAGCTTATCATGTTATCAGGTTGCATGAAAGGGTGAAAGTACAAATCTTCGTTGAATTTCCAGCACTTGTTAATAGCCTATAGGCTATGCTCAGGTTCAGGCTGCTCCATTCTATGAAAAAATGATGTTGCTAATAAAGCACTTTAACCCTAACTAACCCTAAAACCTCTCATAGTCGGGCGATCATTCTAATATTTTCAGAGGTTCATGTGAGGACAAATAAAGTGTCGACATAAATTTGGGTGACCACTGATGGCAGTTTTTCGCACATTAGGCGATGTTTAGATGTCTACATTACGGGTTTAGACTATCATGGTGCATCTGATGATGTTGCTAATAAAGCACTTTAGCCCTAACTAACCCTAAAACCCCTCATCGTCGGGCGATCGTTCTAATATTTTCAGAGGTTCATGTGAGGACAAATAAAGTGTCGACATAAATTTGGGTGACCACTGATGGCAGTTTTTGCACATTAGGCGATGTTTAGATGTCTACATTACGGGTTTAGACTCTCATGGTGCGTCTGTGTATGGCAAGGGAGGAGGGACATATTGCATTAGAGTCGGCAACTAAAAAGCTATTTAAACCGTTCAATACAAGATTCATGGGAGCCACAAACTCGTTGGAAATATAAAATGAATGCATATTATTGTCCTTTTTCTTGTAATTTCTGGAGCAGGCAATTGTTGCACCGGGTCGAAGCGAGACGCCAGCCTATCCTCTTAATTGTATGTGGCTTTAATAATAGCCATAAATTCTGCAAATAATATAATAAAATTGAGCGAGAGTGACATCATGCGATCAAAAGCAATACAGTAATTCCGTATTAGGTTTTGCTTGATGGTACATCTCCAAACGGCAAGTGAAGGAGGCATTTTCACAATTTGCCTCACTTTGCCACATCCAATACGGATGGAACACTTCACTTAAAATATGTTTCCTGTCAAAGAAAGTGAGCCAGTTGAATACAGTAAACAGAATACATGCACATCATGGCGCATGGTCGGGAAGGTAGCACCTCTGCCTCAATTTGAGCCAGGAAAAACCCTGCCAAGGTTATGCAATAAATGCTCAAACTGCTTTCCATAAGATATTATCCGATGTCAAGGAATTAGCCTTTAGTATGCATGAGTTAGCATCTAGTCACGTCACTTAACAAATGCATGTTATTGATCTCTATTTCCCATGCTGGCTTTAAAGTCAATGTTACTTCACAACTGCACAGGGAGCCCAGGAGCAACAAAATAACAAAATCTCAGTTGTTCAACTCTTGGGGGGGGGGGGGACGAAACAAAGTGGTAATGATACTGCTGACCTGGCATATCAATGAGTGCGTGGAAATGCCAAACACATGCAAATAAAAAAGTAATTGAACACACTGGTTCTATTTATCCACTTGGAGCCAGCAAAAAAAAAAAAAAAAAGTCTGTGCTCAAAGTGTTGGATGATACACACATGACATTCTCACACATGCACGCGTGGACGACAGTCTGCGCCATGTGTTTTGGTTCCCGCGGCAAGAATCCAAATGATTGGTTCTGCCACAAGGAGCCATCTGCCATGTTGGTGCTCACCATCTCTTGTGCGCCCCCCTCAGTCCCGATCGTGAAATGCATTTTAAAATTCAGCTGATACAGTGTATTAAGTTTGGCTTCACGGTACACCACATGGTTCAAATTATACAATTTGGTCAATGTGCACACACAGGTTGTTTGCTCCACAAATATCAAATCAGTGGCTATGTTAAAAAAAAACAAAAAAAAACAAAAACAAAAACCAGATCAGAATTTCTGACTTGGACCAGCACAGCGCTCTGTGTGTGTGTGTGTGTGTGTGTGTGTGTGTGTGTGTGTGTGTGTGTGTGTGTGTGTGTGTGTGTGTGTGTGTCCCCTTACCAGCTGCTGGCCTTTGGGTCCCCATCCAGCAAACTGCAGCACAGCTTCATGCACTTCCGGAGGGTTCAAGGGCCAGGTTTCCCTGTGGAAAACAAACAATATCACAATCATGTGCATACTGGGTGCAAACAACACACCGGTAAGCTTGTCTTGTGTCGCTGTTGCTACAGTGAGCTGAGAGGCCAATCGTAGAACATAGGTCAATGTAGCATGCAAAGCCGTACAGACCCTCAAAATTGAATTCAGAGATTTACTTCCATATTGTGTGTTTGCTGAAAACAAGTGAAAAGACTGAGAACTTTTCAGTAACTTTCTAGCTATTCCTACACCCTGAAAATGCTTCCTCGGATGCCACAAGTTGAAGATCAGCTCAATGTTGTACTTCTAAACCAAGAAGTGACGAACAACCATTCGTGCTCATACTCACACCTAGGGACAATGTAGAGTGTTCAATCAGCCTGCCATGCATGTTTTTTGGAATGTGGGAGGAAACCGGAGTACCCGGAGAAAACCCACGCAGGGACCCGGAGGCCCGAGCAGGGATTGAACCCACGACCTCTGCACTGTGAGGTAGACGCGCTAACCACTGGCCCCCCTTTCGTCATCAGTCCGATGTGATATATTTCAAGTCACTGGTTTTAATTTGGAACACATTTATGACTTTATTTAAATGGTTTATCTTTAATCTACTTTTGTGCATTTAGAATGTTTTAAATTCCCGATTTAAACATCAGCAAATGTTTGAAAAAAAAAATCTGATTTGATTAACCCCCCCAGATTTCAATATGGCGCGACAATTATTAAGACACAAATGTAGTGTCCTCGGGGGGGGGGTTACATAACACGACAAAATAATTTGAATAAGGTCTCAGGGCATCTTTTAACTGACCTTTTTTTGCAGCTAATTTCTGTCCAATATGTAATTACTCTGTCAGGTTTGAAAGACCTGAAAACTTCAAATTAAATTTTACTCCATAGCTGTAATGGAAGCACAGGAGCAAAAGCCCCCACCAATCTTGTTGTATTTTAAATGATGGTGACAGATGATGAGTCAGATGTGTTCGTGAGGACCAGTATATATGAAATAAAACAAAAAAATACTAAGAAAATAACATCTTACTGTGTTACAAGGCTGTAAATGATGTACTTGGCCACATAGGAGTGTTGGTATATCTGCAGAAACACAAGATGACAATTCAATGCCGAGGCTAAAAAAAAAAACAAAAATCAAAAATACATGCTGACTTCCTCACCAGTTTCAAGTCAAAGGCAAAGAGGACTTGTTGCAAGTCAGGTGATACTTGGTACCTGGCGGCCTTAGCTCTTTCCTAGAAGGAATGGAGAAAGAAAAACAACAACAACACAATAAGTGACAACTATACAAATGAGCCATTTAAGGTGGACTTAAGGTGGACTCACAAACATCTGGTTTGGCACGACAACACGTGTCTCCTCCGTGTCCACGTTCAGCTTGACAACGTCGCCTTCCCTCGTACGATACAACAGCTCATTACCTGCGCAGAGGAAAGAAAGTGTGTGTTCATGGTGAATTCAGTCGCTTTGTTTTTTTCCAGATCCAGAGTGGACAAACTTTTATTTGGTCTCACGGGGCAAAAATACTTTTTGAAACAAGCCTGCTCATTCGTGGATGAGTTAAAAAAAAAAAAAAAGATGTTTTCTGTATCTATAGCTAATTTAAATATGATTATTTCAGAAAATGAGTACAACAGAGTGTAAACAAATTTTAGATCGAAAAATGTTAACTGTGAAGCAAAAAAAAAAAAGACACTAAAAATCCTTGTACAATACAGGGCGGGCAATTTTGGATCTTTTGTGAACTTCCGAGTACAATAATAAGCATAGTCAAAATGTCAATCTTTGAACCGTATCCACTCAAAATGAATGGGTTCTTTCGGCAACGACGTGTGACCGATTGTCCCCGGTATAAAACGTAATGACGATCGAGCAAGTTACCAAGCAGACGTCTTTCACAGTGTAAAATTGCTCACATTTGTGGGATTAAATGTACGACCGAGTGCTCTTAAAATAATGAAGCAAATCCTTTTCACACTGGCGGATGTGAGCTTGGAGGGTCAGGCAGAGTAGCACCGATTGTTCCGCTTGCCAAATTTCCATTCTGCTTGCGCTTAAAGTAGATTTGCATAAGATTAAGAGAGATTAAGTCCCAGATGTTTCCTAGTGATAGTGCAAGATCTTAGTTGGAGCACAGACGCCTGCGCTGTCGTCACTGTCTTGTCTTAATTGTGCAAATGAACGAGATGGTGAAACACTTTTTGCATTGTCTTTAGGTAGCAACCGGCGAGTCAGAGGTGAGTCCAAAGACGAGTGAGGCAAGAAGCGGCCCGGCTAGGAGGGGATCAGTGACATGCCCCCAGAAATATTGATGAGGAACCACTGGGGAGCGAGCGCATCCGGCCGGTCCGCTTCTCGGAAGGTCATTAGGCCCCAAATGGGACTGGCTTGCTTTAAATCGAGAGGCGGGATGAGATGTCGCGATGATTTCGTCAGGCACTGACAACGTTTTCATCAGCTTGCTCAATGAAGGGCGTTTTAGGATGCTTGTCACGCACTCATACGCCGTCTTGCCGCAGTTACTTTGTTACTCTACTGATTACTTGACTTTAGAAAGTAACTGGATTTTGTGACTGATGACTTGATTTTACAAATAACCGCGTTCGATTACAAATGACTTTATTTGTTACATTCAACAGAAGCCGACGAACCCCGCTGGCCATAAAATTTACAACCGATATTACCAATACTTGCATTTATAACAGTGACATTTAAGAATTATGTTTCTTTTTTAATTCAACATAAAATAAAGACAACCTTTTTTAGATTTACCCATAAATCCTTATTTTTATGATTCAATATGTATTGATATGGTGCAATCTTTTTTTTTTTTAAATGTTTTCTTTAAGGGAATTCGCTTGCAGGGTTTTTTGAAGTTAGATAACACTCTGTCAATAGCACATAGCCCTAATATTTTATCAGCTAACACAAACCCAAGTAGTGATTGGATTTCCAGCATCAAAACACGAATCTCCGCGCTTCCTCCATTGTTATTTTTTATGTGGTCGAAACGTGACATGGCGCGCAGTGATGGCACTCTCCCAATTGGGAATGCAAGCTCAGAATGCTTCACTTCAAGGTACACCGCAACACTGTAGTTCTTCTTTCTTAGGTTTTCTATATCTCATCGATCTAAATTGCTTTATTGAAATATCCAAGCGATGCGTTTTTTTTCCCAATTGTTTGTGCGTCACTAATGCCAAATTGATGTGATATAATTGGGCTTTTTAAGACAATGCCATTAGTTCTAATTTCTTTCAATAAAATGACGGCTATTGACAAATCAACCTTTAAAATCATTCATATTTAAACATGCTTGAGAACACGTAACACATTTTAATGCATTTATTATATACCGGTATATATTTTTTTCGAAAGATTGTCTCTTTAATGGTCACCGAAAGGGAAATTAACGACTAGCCTGTATTTTATGAAGACAGCTATTTAATTGAATCTTTGTTGTTGCAATAATAGGCTGGGGAAAAGACATATAACATTTAAATTATTCCGATTAAAAATAAATAAATAAATACATAATAATCTTATTTTTCCAGCGGTTTACTTAAAATGGCTTGAAATGTCCCTGAAAGTTCAAACGAATGACTCTTTGGCTCGTGTCTAATAAAAGACGGCAATTGAATTCCTCATTCATGTGAAGTAATTTGTTGGGAAAACATATTTAATGGACCTGACAGATATTATTTGGCATGCTTCTGGCTCATTTGGAAACCTTCCCAGCCATATTGTTTGTAATTGGATGTGCAATTGGCCGCATGATGAAACATCCTATCTGGCCCCCAGAAAGAACTGCTGCTGCCTCTTAGAACTATACAAGCAGAATTGGCCATCATAATATTTCTGGATATCTTTGTTGTCGTCCTACTTACCGCTGAGCCACACGGCATCGGGTTCGTGGATGCGGAGGTCAGGACCGAACACGTCATCCAGGGTGACCTTCTTCTTGAGGGCCAGGCTTTCATCTTCACCTGTCAAGCACATGTCAAAGAGTAAAAGGAGAAATCAAAAGTGGCAGGCGGGCCACGGCGATTGTAAAGTGCAGATAGCGTCGCCATGCGTCGGGGGGGCTTCACGTTGCTCATGTGAAATTGGATTTACATTTCAAATAACTTTACAGGTTGGAAAGAAAAAAAAGTGAAGGAAACTTTTTTTTAATGCGATTTTTTTTTTTTTTAATGATTAATCTGGGTGTCTCTCGGGTGGCAGGGGTCTGTATCCCATCTTTTCACTTTGACTATGACATATACAGTATATATAATGAAACATGGAAAAAAAAAGGAAATTAGTTTTTACAGCTTGAAATGACAGAGGCCTTATGGGAGACTTCCGCTTCCCATTCCCGTCTGAGAGAGTGACAAGGCGTATGCGTCGTGTCACATTTTTGGCGTATTGCTGAGTCATCACGTGGCCATACCATACTATAAAAACAGCAATGGAGGAAGGAGAGTAATTTGAATTGAATTGAATTGAATACAACTTTATTGTCAAATGTGCTGTACGTATGTGTAACATACAGCACAGATGAAATTTCTTCCCTCTCAACATAAAACAAGAGTTTGAGTTCTCAAGCTGGAAATTTTGAGTTTTTGTCTTCTAGAATAAAAATAGTTTGTTGCACACTCTGTGCTACTAACAGAACGTTTTCCAGCTTCAATAACACTATGTCGAAAACAAAACAGCTGCAGAAGGTGGCTAAAATTGTATCATAATTTTTATCGATGTACATGATAAAGGTTAAATAGTTAATAGTTCAATATGTCAAATAAAAAGGACTATCATTGTTTTAGCTTGTATTAAAATTATATTTATGTTAAGTCTAGAAAGACTGTCTTTAAAAAATATATTAAAAACAAGAAGCTCATTATGTTGGGTGAAATCCATATTTTTTTAATGTCAATATGTATGGAAATTCAAAAAGGTTGTCTTTATTTTGTTTAAAAAAAAACTTTATTCTTAAATGTCACTGTTAAAAATGCACCTCCAATCAAAAGGCAAATCCGCATGTCATTTTTAAGCTAGCAGGGTTGTGGGTATCTGATGAATGTAACCATTCAAGTAACCTGGACTCAAACTTGATTATTTTTATAATCAAGTAATCAGTCCAGTACTTTTTAAAGCAAGTATTCAGCAAAGTAACTCAGTTACTGTTTAAAACAAGTAATCAAAGTAAGTTACTTTTTCAAGGTAACTGTGGCAAGGCTAGCTATCAAAAAGCAATTTGGAACAAGGACGCCGACAAGAAAGGGAGCTCTGCCGCTGTTCTCGATGTCATTGCATCAGCAGAACAGTTCCTGAGACACACAAAGAAATGAGTGACAACTGGAGCAAAGGATCACAAAGACAAAAGAAACCCAAAGACAAATCTAATGTGCGTGAATACGGGCTAATGCAGCAGGGATGTCTTTTGCAGAGGCTTTGAATGCCCGAGAGTTGAAAAAGTCGCAGATTTAAAAAAAAAATAAAATAAAAAAAAAAGATAAGCTCTTTGTCAGATTTTTCTCACCTAAAAGTGTGCCAGTGTGTCATCAGCCGCTGGGAGGAGACGAATAAGTGAGCTGGGCGAGATCTCAACAAAAGTTTTACTTTTTTTTTTTTTTTTTTTAAAGATGAAAGCTGTGCCAGTTTGACAAAAGGCCGTCATCTCCATTAAACATTCTTCTTTTAGAGGGGAATCGGCTCCATAATCATGGGAAACTTTTACCAGCCTTGACAGTTAGCGCTCACATTGAAAAAGTTGGAAGAATAAGAACAGGATAGCGAGTCTGAAGTATGTGCGTTTGTTCGGTACATACGAGGGGTCAACAGGATGACGGAGGTGACAATCAAAGAGCAGATGACAAGGATGACCAGCAGGGCGATGGCGATTCCTTTCCAGTTCCTCTGTGGCGGCGCACTGCCGACCAGGTCCTGGTGAACAACATTACATGTTACATGACACACACACACGCACACACACATGCACACACGCAATTACACTAGCCTCGGGTCTGACAACTAGTATCGAGTTGAATGTCAAACTGATAAAAAACAGTTCAAGCTGTATAAAAATGCAGTTTTCATGCATTCCAAGACTCAAATTATTTATTTATTTTATGGGTGAGTCAGTTTTTTTCCATCAATAACTTAATTTGAGGAGCAACTTTCGAATTGTGTTCATCTCCCCCCCCCCCCCCC